CATAAAACTGATAAACTAGCACCTACACCTCCTTGCTAGTATAAAACTGGCAAACTAGCACCTACACCACCCTCCTTGCTAGTATAAAACTGGTAAAATAGCACCTACACCTCCTTGGTAATCAAGACAGTTGATGCCCAGTTATTCCTAAGGAAAAGTGGGATGGGAAGACGTTAAGAGAGAAGAGGGTGGAATTTAACATATACTATGAACCTACATCTAACGTTGTTACAGTTCCACTACTAGGTCTTAATTATAAGCTACTATGCAGCCTCTTGCATAGATTAGAGGTAGAATAAAGGGCCCAATTGGAAATAAATCACTGACTTTTTTGGGTTATCCCAGGTTCCCTACACATACGCTGGTATGTATGATAATCTGTGTAACTGTATTTGTGTATATCTGAATAAAGTTAGTTCGTCTAGTATGATTTCCTCCAAGTATGCCTGTCCAATTATACCACAGGGCCAGTATTATACCACAGGGCCAGTATTATACCACATGGCCAGACACTGGCCCAGAGAGCAGGTAACCTACTAGGAGGACTGTCACCTCAGTCATGCACATGTCATACCAACAAGACGATGTCCCGTCTCAAACATCCGGATGTTAAATTGTGACAAACACGGTATTTCAGGGGATTCCTGAAACATTACGGGAACTATCACACTCGGCATATCAAGGCGGAAAGTTCCTGTTAACTTAGTTTAATATTTTTATTATGCACCCCATACCCATGGTGTGGGCGGTAGTCAAAAGATTACAAAGGTACATAATGGGTCCAGGGACTGGACCCCAAAGTTATGATAGCTGAACTAGTTACAAAGGTAATGAACTCCAGGTAGATCTGGTCACAATCATGGCAAGTTACAAAGGTAATGAATCAGCCTCACTCCTATACATGGTTACAGTCATGAACAAATTACATACAAAGTAATGAACTACACTATGCATGTAAAATGCATTCAAAACAATATACGAGTTACTGTCCCCGTGGCAGGTCCACCACTGCAGCCTCCAAGAGACCGGGACACAGCTGCCCTTGTCTAGATACTGGTAAGAAATCCTTTCAGAGTGCATGGGATGGCAGGCGTTTCTCTAGGATTTAATTAATAATCTTAGTGGATAATTAACAAGTCACACACCTATTACATGCTCTTCGACACTAACGACGGGGATACAACGACGGGATACAACGACGGGGATACAACGACGGGGATACAACGACGGGGATACAACGACGGGGATTACAACGACGGGATTACAACGACGGGATTACAACGACGGGGATACATTCCGATGAATCTAAGTTGAAAATATTTTAAGTGGAACATGAACACATGATCAGCAGATAAATAAACAATTATTCTTACTAAATAAATAATTACCGTAAATACTAGTATTGAAAAGTAAATAAATGAATACAAGTTAATCCTAGCAATATACAGTACTTAATATACATCGCTATCACACCATCGTGAAGTCGTAATATCAGAAGTCGTAAAGCGAGGAGTATCTCCATATTTAAATATATTTAATTTTCGATCAAAATAACGAATTTACACTTAGACAAAACTAATTTGAACCAACCACTATGATAGATACATTTTCGAAAGTTTAAAGCCATATAAAACTATTATTCCCTGTCTCATAGACCAGTAACTTAAAATACATCGGCCACAGCAACCAGGTACCTGGTCGAGTGTGGCTCGGTGTTTGTGTCAGAAACTACGGGGTCGTCAGGAGTAGCCATTGTGGTGTTGCCACACCCTCCCACAGCACCAAGATGTGGTGTTGCCACACCCTCCCACAGCATCCAGGAGCGGTGTTGCCACCCACACCCACAGCACCTACTTTAATATCTATTATGTACCCCCATACCCATCCTATGGGTGGTAGTCACACCATACCCATCCTGTGGGTGGTAGTCACACCATACCCATCCTGTGGGTGGTAGTCACACCATACCCATCCTGTGGGTGGTAGTCACACCATACCCATCCTGTGGGTGGTAGTCACACCATACCCATCCTGTGGGTGGTAGTCACACCATACCCATCCTGTGGGTGGTAGTCACACCATACCCATCCTGTGGGTGGTAGTCACACCATACCCATCCTGTGGGTGGTAGTCACACCATACCCATCCTGTGGGTGGTAGTCACACCATACCCATCCTGTGGGTGGTAGTCACACCATACCCATCCTGTGGGTGGTAGTCACACCATACCCATCCTGTGGGTGGTAGTCACACCATACCCATCCTGTGGGTGGTAGTCACACCATACCCATCCTGTGGGTGGTAGTCACACCATACCCATCCTGTGGGTGGTAGTCACACCATACCCATCCTGTGGGTGGTAGTCACATCATACCCATCCTGTGGGTGGTAGTCACACCATACCCATCCTGTGGGTGGTAGTCACACCATACCCATCCTGTGGGTGGTAGTCACACCATACCCATCCTGTGGGTGGTGGTCACACCATACCCATCCTGTGGGTGGTGGTCACACCATACCCATCCTGTGGGTGGTAGTCACACCATACCCATCCTGTGGGTGGTAGTCACACCATACCCATCCTGTGGGTGGTATTCACACCATACCCATCCTGTGGGTGGTATTCACACCATACCCATCCTGTGGGTGGTAGTCACACCATACCCATACTGTGGGTGGTAGTCACACCATACCCATCCTGTGGGTGGTAGTCACACCATACCCATCCTGTGGGTGGTAGTCACACCATACCCATCCTGTGGGTGGTAGTCACACCATACCCATCCTGTGGGTGGTAGTCACACCATACCCATCCTGTGGGTGGTAGTCACACCATACCATCCTGTGGGTGGTAGTCACACCATATCCATCCTGTGGGTGGTAGTCACACCATACCCATCCTGTGGGTGGTAGTCACACCATACCCATCCTGTGGGTGGTAGTCACACCATACCCATCCTGTGGGTGGTAGTCACACCATACCCATCCTGTGGGTGGTAGTCACACCATACCCATCCTGTGGGTGGTAGTCACACCATACCCATCCTGTGGGTGGTAGTCACACCATACCCATCCTGTGGGTGGTAGTCACACCATACCCATCCTGTGGGTGGTAGTCACACCATACCCATCCTGTGGGTGGTAGTCACACCATATCCATCCTGTGGGTGGTAGTCACACCATACCCATCCTGTGGGTGGTAGTCACACCATACCCATCCTGTGGGTGGTAGTCACACCATACCCATCCTGTGGGTGGTAGTCACACCATACCCATCCTGTGGGTGGTAGTCACACCATACCCATCCTGTGGGTGGTAGTCACACCATACCCATCCTGTGGGTGGTAGTCACACCATACCCATCCTGTGGGTGGTAGTCACACCATACCCATCCTGTGGGTGGTAGTCACACACCATACCCATCCTGTGGGTGGTAGTCACACCATATCCATCCTGTGGGTGGTAGTCACACCATACCCATCCTGTAGGTGGTAGTCACACCATACCCATCCTGTGGGTGGTAGTCACACCATACCCATCCTGTAGGTGGTAGTCACACCATACCCATCCTGTGGGTGGTAGTCACCCCATACCCATCCTGTGGGTGGTAGTCACACCATATCCATCCTGTGGGTGGTAGTCACACCATACCCATCCTGTAGGTGGTAGTCACACCATACCCATCCTGTAGGTGGTAGTCACACCATACCCATCCTGTAGGTGGTAGTCACACCATACCCATCCTGTGGGTGGTAGTCACACCATACCCATCCTGTAGGTGGTAGTCACACCATACCCATCCTGTGGGCCGTAGTCACACCATACCCATCCTGTGGGCCGTAGTCACACCATACCCATCCTGTGGGCCGTAGTCACACCATACCCATCCTGTGGGCCGTAGTCACACCATACCCATCCTGTGGGCCGTAGTCACACCATACCCATCCTGTGGGCCGTAGTCACACCATACCCATCCTGTGGGCCGTAGTCACACCATACCCATCCTGTGGGCCGTAGTCACACCATACCCATCCTGTGGGCCGTAGTCACACCATACCCATCCTGTGGGCCGTAGTCACACCATACCAACCTGTGGCCGTAGTCACACATACCATCTGTGGGCCGTAGTCACACCATACCATCCTGTGGGCCGTAGATCACACCATACCCATCTGTGGGCCGTAGCTTCACACCATACCCATCCTGTGGGCCGTAGTCACACCATACCCATCCTGTGGGCCGTAGTCACACCATACCCATCCTGGAATCACACCACAGGATTGCTTTCAAAGTTTGGGTGACAAAATATAAAACCTGACTAACAAAAAAAAGGCACAATACCGTGATTGGAACAATACACAAATCCGCAGATAGAAGAGAGGAGCTTACGACGACGTTTCGGTCCGACTTGGACCATGGTCCAAGTCGGACCGAAACCTCGTCGTAAGCTCCTCTCTTCTATGTGTGGATTGTGTATAAAACCTGACCTTTGTCGGCATTCATATACTGAACGAGAGAAATACCAAGAATGGGTCGAATTGCGAAATGGCTTCCAGTACTTCCCCTTACCAAAACAGTTTACGTACCACGAACATTATATGAGGTCAGGAGACATATAGGAAGCTAACTTACAATAGCCTGTCTTAGTGCTCGACAAGACAATGTCTGACATCGCAATTGGCACCCCAGTAATTCAAAACTGTAATTCTTTAAATAAAGTTGGCTTTACGTAAGACAATTACAATTCTAACCCTCCTCTAAATAAGATACTGTACACCAGCCATGAAAATTTGAAGCTCTAACAACCCAAAAGATTGACGGAAAAAATCGACAACCACTTTATGTATCACGTCACGGTGACCATAATAAATATATTCCCATGAACCAAATGTCGGAGTCGTCCAGCACTGTTTACAGATAAGGGATCGTTTACCGGAGTCTTGCATCTCCTGACAGGAGCATAGAATACAAGATAAATTAAAAAAAAAAATACAGCCTACCTTTAGCGGGCGTTGTAGGATTAAAGGTGTGAAAGAAAGAAGAAAGATCAAAGCACTCATCAATCATCTCCTTGCTGGTATGGTCGATGATGCTGGCATGGCCGATGGTGCTGGTGGCTTCAAGTTTATCAACGAACCGCTCCAGCTCCTTCCTCAAGCTCGGAGATCCCATTGACATGGCTGTAGAATTTGTTTGCTGTTTCTTACTTTAAATTAAGAAATGTTGCTGTTCAGATCTTAAAGCCTTGTGCTCTCTGCTGCCTTCGGTGCTCTGTTGTCTTTGGTACTCTATGCTCATTTTCGGTGTTCTGTTTTCTTCGGCGTTCTGTGCTTCATTCGTAGATATTTCCGCTACCGGGGACACATGATGGCTGGAAAAAAAAATGAAAAGAATGGAGAAGTTTGTGAAAAAAAGGAAAAATGTGGAGCATTTGATGACAAGATCAAATTTACTATCAAGTACCACTTTTTTTATATTTTATTTAAAACATCATAAATTACAAGGTAGTATAAAATATTAAATACCACAATAATACAGGATCTGGACAAGATTACGAAGAATTATATCACAAGTGCAAGAGAAAAATTTTGAAACACGCAAAATACATACACACCATGCACTGACACACATTATACAAAATGATAATATATCTGACACACACAAAACTGTTGGAGGGGGGACCCCCCCATGAAAACTCATCTATAAATACACCCACATCATTCGCACACGTATTGATCACAGCAGTGATACATGCAACTGTTTATGAGATTTAACTTAAGAACAAAGTCTGGTAATTATCCAAAAACATTTCTCTATAACAACAATAAGCATTACACAAAATTACATAAGCGTATAAAGCATCAACAACTGCAAGATGTTTACAGCAAACGTTGCATCAGCAACCAAACTTAATAACATTACAAAGGTGATGGAAAACAAATTATGTAAAAACAAATGTAAAAGCCATCTAAGAGGAAAGAAATTCCCTACAAAATTACGATAAATACTACGAAAATATATACCAGAAAAATTATCTTTGCAAAAAACTGGTAGACTAACATGGACAGTGACTTCTATAACTCCCTTTTAATCACAAGGACCTAATTTATACAAATCTTGGGCTAATCAAAATCTTGCACACAAAACTTACATGTCAACACAGCACCACGCAGTACATACCTTCCTGATCCTCACATTCCTTCGCAAGTCCTTTACCTCTTACACTCCCCCTCCGAAAAACTAATGGCAACCCGCTTATAAAGGAAACCAGTCCTTTACGTATAATTAGCTCGCCAACTGAATGAGACCATTGACCGTAATTTTGCAGTTGGTCTCCGGAAACTTGCCCTCCACTGTCCCCCGTAAATAAGTTTGTTTCTGCAAACTGTTCTATATATGCCTGCCGCAATTGCCCTAATCCTAATTCTTCCCCCTCCAGTGTCCCTCATCCCCCAGGAAATATACAGAAAATCCACCACTACATACATAATCGCCCTTTTCACTTCTCTGGAGACCCTGTGTACTTCTAATGTTAAAGCTCTCAGGGTCTACATTACCCCCACCCATCAACCTAAAAACCTTCACTAACCACACCCTCACCTCCCTCAACTCTTCACAGAAATAAACCGCATGAAAAGCTGTTTCCTGTTCTCCACAGTGATCGCAGGTCTGTTCCCTCACCAATCCCATTGAACACAAAACAGCTTTCGATGCTAATATCCCCATTATAAACCTATATACAAACTCCCGTACTCTCGGCATTAACTTAAGCTTTCGAAAGTCATTCCATATCATACCCCAATCATACAAGGGATAAACCGATACCCCTTGTATGATTTCCGGCCTTCTACTCATCGTCACCAAACGCCCCACCCTAAGTTTTTCCACCTCCCTAATCAATAACAATAACCTCAGCATATCCTCGCATCCAATTAATTTTTTTCCGCTCCACCATCTCCGCACATCCTTCATCACTTTCCCCACTCTAACCCCTCTTTCCCCCCCTCCCTAACGAACCTCTGTTTCACATATAAGGTCTTTACTCTCGGCCCCAACGCTAAAAGGCCTACTCCTCCACTGCGTATATTCAACATCACCACCTCCTTGCTTAGCCATGCCCTCCCGAAACCCCAAACATAATGTAATGCCCTCCTCTGAATCTCATGTACGTCTGGAGTCCTCAGTGGATACACCACAGCCATACTCCACACTTTACTATAAACTAATGAATTTGCGATTATCGCCCGCTGTTGTAAGATGACGTCCCCCGCCCGTAAACTCCTTAACCTTTTTACTGCCTTCTCCACCACCACCTCCGAATTCACCTGCCTAGCCTCCTGCGCATCTGTCGTGTATATAACTCCACAATTTTTTTGCCTAGCCACTACTTCCCACCCAAACTCCAACCCCAAGCCCCCCCCACCCAGGCACCCACCTCCAGCAAACTTGATTTTGCTCTGTTCACCCGCATGCCAGATGCCCTCCCGAAAAGCTCCAACACACTTCCCACCGTACGCAATCCCTCCACTCCGGCTATCAGAACAGTGGTATCATCCACATACCCCACCACATCTATACACCCATCCTTCTCCCCATTTAAAATCCCCTCCCCTCAACGAGCCATAAAATGGATGCTGCATACAAGCAAACAATATTTGAGACAGGGGACACCCCTGTCTCAAACCCCTCTCCATCCTTACAGGCCTTCCCAACCTGCCATTAATTTGTACTCGCACCATTGCAGATGAATACATTGTATCAACCCACCTCACTACTCCCATGCCAAAACCGAGATGCAACAAACTAGCCCTCAGAAAGTTTCTATCCACACAGTCATATGCATTTTCCCAATCAATGCCCAAAAGCCCTCCCCCGTTGTAACCCTCCAAAAAATCCCTAATGCGGCCATGCCCATCTCTCGTGCTTCTGCCCGGAATACCCATCTGTCCCTTATGAATAACCCCACCTAACACCTTCATCCTACTACCCAGTATCTTCGCGAAAATCTTGTAGTAGGCACACATTAGCGAAATAGCTCTGTACTCACTCAATACTCTTCCCTCTTGCTTTTTGCGTACTAATACGACTAAACCCGTTCGCTTGAGTCTGTCCAAACTGTCCCTCCGTCGCATACAATTCATAAACCCTCACCAGACAGTACTTAATGTGCTCCCATTCTATAAAAATCATTTGATACCCCATCTTATACCCGGTGCCTTGCCAGTACTCGTATTAAACACAGCCTCCTCAACTTCCCCCATGCTAATCTCACCCCATCCCCTTTGCCCTCTCTTCTATGACCCTAAACCTCTCCCCCACACCTCCTAAATTAGCATCGCCCTCCTCCCCTTCCCCCCACTTTTTTGGAAAACCAGAATTCAGCATAATTGCTCATGACTTCTGTAGTATTCAGTACCTGCCCTTATGATAACCACCCATATCCTCACTTACCTCCAAGTTTAAAATAGTCGAATCCTTCTGCCTTACCCTAAAACCTTGCAAAACACTTTCCGAAGGTTTATCACCCCACAGCACAGCCTCCATTCCCGCCCTTACACGTACCGCATCTTACCTAACCTAACCATTATGTAACTCTGCCAACCTGTCCTCGAGTTGCACCATGTTTCCGTACTGCAGCCCCCCCCCTTCCTCATAACACCCATTTAGCTGATATTCAAAATAATTTTGCAACCCATACCTCCACCCTGCCTCTTCCCTTCCCTTCCTTTTATAAAAACCTGCTATACCCGGCTTAGTGTGCCTTTCCCACCATTCTAAGACACACGACTCCATCTCTCTAGAACCCCAAAAAGTTTGCCATCATTCCCCAAAAGACATACTCACCTCCTCACTCCTCAGAGTCTTGCTTTTAAATTTCCAAAAACCCGTTTGTTTTCCTAACCATCCCTCCCAATCAAGATCTGCCATAACGCCCTATGATCAGAAAACCCCACATCAAAAGTCCTGACCCCCAAACCCAAATGTACAGCTTCCGTTGCAGAGATCCTATCTAATCTTGCAGCATAATCCATCTGACAAAGTATATCAACCTGCCAACCACCCTCCCCCAAACATCCAAAACCCTCACATCTCCAAACACATTAATAACATGCCCAACTTTACACCCGCCCCCTCGGTTTCACACCGCCCCCCCTAATAACACAATTCCAATCTCCCCCTATGACAGTGACTAAAGGTAAACCCCTAAATAGTACATCAAAAATTCCCTCACAAAGTTCTCCTTGACTCGTGCAATTCCCATCCCCGCCGGCATATACACCCTATAAAACAAAACCCCCATTGACCCCCTTCTCCCTCCACCGGCAAAGGGCCCTCCCCCCCCCTCCCACCCCAAAATACGAATGGACTGGTTTCCTTTACAGCCACAGCAACCCCACCTTTCAACCTCAACGAGCCACTCACATACAACTTATATTCCTCTCAAAGACAACTCAAACAAAAATTTTATCTACATTAAATCTCTTTAAAAACCATTCCCCCCCATACTCTTTTAACCTCGGCTCTCAGGCCATTAAAATTGATCGTTACAACCCTTTAATTATGACAGTAAAGGCGGTTTCCCGCCACCTTGGAATGGCACCCGCGTGACCCGGCTGCTGACTAGAGCCCCGTTGTCACTGGTCTGTCAGTCCCCAACCCCCCTTATCCTTTGAACCTTTCAGTACTTCAGCACCGCTACACCCAACTCCGGGAGATCCAACCTGGGGTTCCAAGAAATTCTTCCCAGGTCTTGCCCTGGCGTTAAGGGCGTCATCCATATCAGACGTCCCAGCTGTTCTCTTGCGTGAACCTCCGTCTCCACATGTAACCTCCTCTTCCATGCAAGCTCTGTGCACCTCAGCCACTACCGTTTGCTTCTTCCCCTCATTGCACACGGTCTTCCCACGTCCCGATGAGACTGTAGTCTCCTCCAATGAGCGTCCACGCTGCTCATCATCCAGACTCCCCTCCACCTCACTCAGGAAGGTATTCAAAACCTCATCCAGCATTACATCCTGTTGCATTACAGGCTCACCGTCATCGTTCGTCGTCGTCGTCTGCTCAGGCCTCGTCCCCCACAGGTAACGTAGCACGTGAGTCCGTCTCCGCCTCTGCTTTATCCACTTCCTCACTCCAACTACGGTGGCCCGGTGGCTAAAGCTCCCGCTTCACACACGGAGGGCCCCGGGTTCGATTCCCGGTGGGTGGAAACATTCGACACGTTTCCTTACACCTGTTGTCCTGTTCACCTAGCAGCAAATAGGTACCTGGGTGTTAGTCGACTGGTGTGGGTCGCATCCTGGGGGACAAGATTAAGGACCCCAATGGAAATAAGTTAGACAGTCCTCGATGATGCACTGACTTCCTTGG